GTTCCACAGAAAATAGACTGGAGCAATGAGAAGAATCTTAAAGGGTAGTTCCAAATTATTTCAAGCTCCAGGGGGAAAAAATTGAAAACAAATACATGATAGTTACCTGAAACATCGCTTTACCTTATGGCTTCCAAAAAATTAAACTGATTTATTTACATACATGAAAGACCTTTAAAATGATAGGAACTGAAGATGTTAATTTGTATGTTATCTTTCCTAAAGTAACAAAAGCTTTTGCTAACTTGAGAAATAAAGCACAACATGAGAGCTGCAAGTTAAGTTTTACTGGGGGCAAAATGAGGACTATATCGTGGGAGACAGCACCTCAGATACCACTGAGAAACTGCTGCAAAGAGATAGAGGGAAAAGTCAGTATATATGGGATTTTGGTGAAGGGACAGCACACGCAATCAAGCACATCTTACATATTTTTTTTGCAGATGGCTTCTGCTAGTCATGAGGCGCAATTGTCACCATGAAGGATTTTAGTGGTTTCTAGATATGGGGATAAACAAGAATTGGGCTCATAAAATTGCTCCCAAAAATATCTATCTGAAGACATGTTCTGCCAGTTTTTTCCAGCGCACAGAGCACCTCATTTCTGTTGTCTACCCTGAGCTCCTTTCAGGGGGTGTTGAAAGTCAACAGTTGCAGCAGTTCATGATTTAATCCTTGTAGAGGTAGATGGAAAGTGCTGATTTGTAGCTGACACTTGGATTGCCAGGTTTTCATCCTGGTACTTATACAAATATTTGAAATTTTATTTGTAGCAGCATTCTGAATAACCCAATACTCCATAAACTTATACACTGTGATGTCTTTTCTTCTATACTGATATTTCCTTTTACATGTTATGCTGGTAGCTACCTGTTCTTCTAGATAAAATACCATTCATCCTTAAGGTCCCACTTTCTCCTATCATCCACCAGTAACTAACGATTTGTGAGTTTATGCTTTTGAGAATTGGTGATGACTGTGTTCCATGTGCTCCCCCAGGCCCGCTCCCCTTCCTTCTCCATGGTGCCTATGCCCTGGAGCCACCTGGATGGACTCTCTCTCCTCTGAATGCCACTTGGGATCAGCCATCATTGAATGGTGGCAGGAGAACAGAGGGAAGAGGGAGGTGAGTTTGGAATATTTATTCCCTTGGCTTCTTTGCTGGAGTCTATCTGTGTCCCTTATAATAAGAGAAAATATTCTTTAAAATGAAATTTAAAACTCCTCTGAGTTCCAGTGACCAATTCTACCCTCCATCTCATCTCTTCAAGCCAAAGATGGTAACAGTTCTATCTTGCCCTTTCTCTACATGCCACTCACAAAGGATGTAAATCATCTTTTATTAAACTCTTTTAAATGATCCAGTTTTCATTCCCTTCTGCTTTTTTCTGGAATCCTAAGAGTCATTTATTTGTATGTGCATAATCATGCTTAAAATACTTTGTGAGTGCCTGCTAAGTCACTTCAGTCATGTCCAACTCTTTGTGACCCAGTGGACTGTAGCCTGCCACTCTCATCTGTCCATGGGATTCTCCAGGCAAGAATACTAGAGTGGATTGCCATGCCCTTCTCCAGGGTGCCTTCCCTACTGGAGTAGATTTCCATCCAGAGGGTCTTCCCTGCCCAGGGATCAAACTCACATCTATTAGGCCTCTTGCATTGTCAGGCAGGTTCTTTACCACTAACACCATTTGGAAAGCCCTTAAAACACTATAACATATTTTAAATAGTTACTGAAATGTTTCTTTCTTCTATAAAAGTATGCTCTTTGAAAAAAAAAATCTTAATATATATTTATGTCTTCTAGCACATGCAAGTGTTCTCCATATACTAAGCACCCAATAAATGCTTTTCAATAGGGAAAATGTGCTCTGAGATGTTTATTCTTTCACACAAAGAATAAGAACAAAAGTTCAAACCTGCACTTTGGAAGCTAACCATCAGCTTACAGGCTTTACATATGTAATTTATTTTCTTTCTTAAATCACCTTTAGACATTGATGGAATTATGTCTGCTATTGATGAATGCAGAGAACATTTAATGAAAGGTCATGGCCATGATTAGAGAATCACTGCTCTAAAGGGCACTGAATGAAATTTCATGTTATAGTCTATGGAAGATTAATTTAAATTATATTCTCTAATGCCAAAATATTTTTATTTTCCTGTTGATATCCTATGAGCTTTACTGAACTGCATGCTATTATGAAAGACACAATCAGAACAGTTTTGTGATGGAGAAAGTAATATCAGAAGTGGCAACAGCCAACTTCAATTTATAAGATACTTATAACAATTCAACATATGGCATTTATAAAAATAAACTACAGAAAAATGAAGATACAAATTACTAAGTGCTATGGAACCATAATGCTTTATCTTTTGGTTGTTATTCTAAAATAAGATTTTTGAATTTTTACCTACACACACACACACACCCCAACTTCAAATGGTTGTTAAATGTTTGTTAGGCAGTATACTCTCTTAATCCTTAACAAATATATAATCTATTTGGAAAAATAAAAGACTTGTAATATTTTTATGGCAATCCAAAGAAGAAATAAACCTGTGATGTATTTTTAAAAATCACAGAATAGGTATGGCTGCTAGCTAAGTGGATGGTAGAAGTATTAATCATTGTGGGACCTGATATAACAGGAGATGTCACAAAGGAGATGGGGTTTTAAATGGAGATTGAAGGTAAAGAAAACTGAAGGAATATCTTCCAAAGTAAGAAGTTCAAAAAGACAAAAAATAGAGGTGAAAGTGTAGGATGTTTAGAGAATAGCAATTATATACAACTGGAAAAAAGTGAAAGTGAAAGTCACTCAGCTGTGTCCAACTCTTTGCCACCCCACGGACTATACAGTCCATGGAATTCTCCAGGCCAGAATACTGGAGTGGGTAGCCTTTCCCTTCTCCAGGGGTTCCCAAACCAGGGACTGAACCCAGGTCTCCCACTTTGAACCAAGGTCTCTGGCTTTGAACCCAGGTCTCTGGCTTTGCAGGCAGATTCTTTACCAGCTGAGCCACAAGGAAAGCCCAAGAATACTGGAGTGGGTAGCTATCCCTTCTCCTGGGATCTTCCCGATCTAGGAATCAAACCAGGGTCTCCTGCATTGCAGGCAGATTCTTTACCAACTGAATATTAGGGAAGCCCCATATATGATTGAAGTTGAGTGTAATGATCAACATTTGGTCAATATTATAGCTCAATTTGGGTTTTATTTTAAAGGGGAAAAATAATAATATTTAAGAATTGAAAGTTTTCTTTCAGGAAGACAATTCTTTTTGAGGGGAATTACATATTCATCCAACTATGGACCGAGAAAAAGGTACAACCTAAAATTTGGTGGATTTTCTGTGGACTTAAGCCCAGAAATGTGTGTGTGTACTTAGTCACTTAGTTGTGTCTGACTGTTTGTGACCCTTTGCACAACTGCCCACCAGGATCCTCAAGAAAGCTTCTCAAATAGCTCTGAGCGACTGCTCCAAAAAGGTAAGGGAGGACAGGATATATAGAGGTTTTTGTAACAAAGACCAGGTAGTGGGAACATCAAAAGATTACAGTTAATTAAAGAAAACGACATACCTCAAGTGAATGAATTTAGTTCTTTTCTCTTCAATTTTTTAAAATGTCCGTTGTGTTGGTTCTTTGCTGGCTCAAGGACTTTCTCTAGTTGCTGTGCACAGGTTTAATTGCCCTGAAGCATGTGAATTCTTACTTCCTGACCAGCAATGGAACCTACTTGCTCTGCAGAGGAAGGCAGATTCTTAATCACTGAACCACCACGGAAGTCCCTAGCTCTTTTCTGTGTATAAGAAGATGCAAGAGTTGGTCTCATTGAAATCATTCCTTTGATATGCACATTAACTGTGGGGCCAGTATCCTGTTCTTCCCCATCCTGAGGGTGCACTGCTAGGGGTGGAACACCATTAGTGGTAGTGATTGATGGCTTAATGGCATCCTTTGTTTTCTGATATGGCAGGCAATAATTTGTCATTCACACAACTACAAAACTTTTGATTTGGGCGAGTTCCTTGATCTTGTTTTGCCTCAATTTCTTTAACGATAGAGTGATATATGAATGTGCTTGTGCATGCATACCCACTAGTATCCAACTCTTTGTGACTAAGGACTGTAGCCCACCAGTCTCCTCTGTCCATAGGTTTCTCTAGGCAAGAATACTAGAAGGAGTTAACGTGCCCTCCTCCAGGGGATCTTCCCCAACTAGGGATCAAATCTGCATCTTTTATGTCTCCTGCATTGGCAAATGGGTTCTTTACCACTAGCCCCATCTGGGATGCCCATTTACTATATAAGGCCATTATATGGAACAGATATGAGCTTTCAATAGTTTGAACACTTTTTTTAACTGCTGTTGTTTTTGTTGATAGTGGCAGTGAAGTTTTCTTTTTTTAAATGCAGGGACAGAAAGAGTAATTAGAAGAACATTTAATCTAAGAATGAAGCAGTAGATTATGATGTAAAGTAATAGTAATGACTGTAAGATAATAAAGCTATTTTGTTTTAATCCACTAAATTAGTGATAATTTACTATGACAACAACAGGAAAATAATATAGATGTTGATACCCAGAAATGGAATGCTTCTGTAAAAAGTTCGTACAAATGAGAAGAGCCTTTATGTAAGGCATAGTTCCAGCGAGGCAGAAAAGGAAAGATGACCTCAACAGAAGTAGGTTACCTTTATTCAGGCAAGGAGGGGCGACAGTTGGCCTAACAACCAGGCTGAGCACCGAAAGGGATCAGGGAGGCTTCATACTTATAGGGAGATTAGTGGAAGCGATAAGGGAAACGTCAATCAGGCGGGATATTTTGAGTATTCTTTTGTTGAGATGACACTTGTAGTTGGGCAGGGGGTGATGAGTCTTCTGGGCGGGTGGAGGGGGTGGTAGGTTTCCGGACAGGGGGTGATAAGTCCCAGATAGATGCAAGTGGCCTGGAGCATCAGGATGGAACTAAAGTTATGCTTTGTTTTCTCCGAAGTTAGATGATTCAGCAAGGGGCCTTTGAGACTGTTGCTCTCTTTTCTAGTCACAAAAGACTCCTTCATTTCAGACCCTGAAATCATAAAAAAAAATGGGGAAAAGGGCGCCATATCTCTCTGGCTACTTCCTGCTGGATAGGGGCGACGGTTTTGGGTCTGGAATGGAGAACCGTCCTAGGGCCCACAGTCTCCTTTTTCTGAGCTTGAGGTGAGGCTCTGGAGAAGAAGAATGGTCTTGACCTGATCTCGAGAGATGGCCTGAATCCGTTCTTGGAGAAACCTTTGAAAGACATTAAAGAGACAGGGTCCAAATAAGAGGAATAGAATGATAAGTACCAATGGTCTCAGGAAAGGGAGCAACCAAGGGAATATCTGTTGGAACAGGTTTTGGGGCATGTAAAGGTTTTGTAACTCTTTTCTGCGGCATTCAATTCTGTCTCTAAGTCCTTTGACTAGGCCCTGGACTATGCCCATTTCATTAACAAAATAGGAGCAGTTCTCTCCTAGGAAAAGGCAGGTCCCTCCCTTTTTTGCGGTGAGAAGGTCCTGAGGGGAGACGGTTACTAGGCCTATAGCAAGGATTAAGATTAAGAATGCAGTTATAATTAGAGAGACAGGGAGAGGCCAGTCAGGGCGAGGGGCAGAAGGCCCCAAGTTGGTGGTGGTTTGAATCTGAGGAGGAACAGTGCTCATTAGGATGTAGAATGGTGTAGAGAATGAGAGTAAAGAAATCAATTTCGTCTGGAGTCAGGTTGTAGAAGGTTCCCTGGAGGCACAGTTGAGACACCGGTGTAGTCAGGTCTTTGAAGGAGATTCCTGTTGGGGCTCTGGTCCAGAGGTCTTGTAGTAATTGGGTCAGGAACAGTTGTAGGTTGAAGGGAATCCAGGTCATTCAGTGTCCTCTCGGATGGTTGACAGGGGTTGTCGCCGGGTGAATTTTAAGGAGGTGGGTCCTGTGAGAGAGACCTGATAGGTGTCATTTAAGGAGGGCAGCGCAGGATTGGAGGTGACCCGTTTTAGACGAGAGAGGTGTACCCAGGAGGTGACCTTTTCAAGTTTAGCTGCAGTTGGGGTAAGGAGGATGACTTTGAATGGTCCCTGCCACTTTGGGGTTAGGTCACCCTGGGGATTATCAGACAGATAGACCGTGTCCCCAATTTGTAAAGAGGGCAGGGAAGCTTGGGGGTCAGGGGCAGGGCAGATTGTGGTTGACGTATCTCCAGAGGGCATTGCGGAGTTGCGCCAGCAGTGGGGAGTGTAGGAAGCTTGGTGTGGGAGGAGGCTCGGGGGGAGTCCAGGAGGGAGCATGGGCCTTCCACACATCACCTCAAAGGGGCTCAGCCCCAGGGGCTTTCTGGGCAAAGCCCGTATTCTGAGGAGAACAATTGGTAAAAGTTTAGTCTAATCCAGATGTACCTCGAGGGTTAATTTGGTAAGGGTTTCTTTGATTATTCTATTCATCCTTTCTACCTTTCCTGAGGACTGGGGACAGTATGGAATGTGAAATTTCCAGGGTATCTGTAAGAATTGGACAAGTTGTTGGGTGACCTTGGATGTAAATTCTGGGCCATTATCAGACTGTAGGGATGCAGGCAGGCCAAACCTGGGGATAATTTCTGTGAGGAGGATTTGGGCCACTGTGTGGCTCTTTTGTTAGTAGTGGGAAATGCTTCTACCCACCCCAAAAAGGTGTCCACAAGGACTAGTAGGTATCTGACTCTCCGGACCCGGGGCATATGAGTAAAGTCTATCTGCCAATCTTGTGCTGGGAGGCTGCCTCGTATTCGATGGGTTGGAAAGGATGTCAGTTTAAGGTTGAAATTGGGGTTAGTACGTTGACATGTTTGACAGGAGCGGGTAAGGTTATCTAAATATTGTTGGTCAGCATTGGATATGGGGACATGGTTATGGAGGAACTGTTGGAGTGTCTTGGATGAGGGATGAAAAAGTGAGTGTAGATAAGAGAGGATTTCTCTGGAGGTGGGAGGGTCGGGTGGAGTCAGAGCTAAGATGACAGGGGACTGGAGGGAGGGATGGGACAGGGCTATCTCCTTTGCCTTCTGGTCTGCAGCATTGTTGTAGGCTGATATGAGACTTCCCTTTTGATGTCCCCTACAGTGGAGGACTGCGACTTTGTTTGGTAAGAGTGCTGCCTCTAGAAGTTTGTGAATCAGGTCTGAATTAATAATAGGGGATCCCTTTTGGGTTAGGAAACCTCTTTCTCTCCATATTAGGATGTTTGAGTGAAGTATGTTATAGGCATATTTGGAGTCTGTGTGGATGTTAACCCTTAGATTTTTAGCCAGAGTTAAAGCTCTGGTGAGAGCTATCAGTTCTGCCTGTTGGGAGGTGGTGTGAGGTGGCAGTGGTGAAGCTTCAATTGTCTGGGTTCTGTGATTGTGACAAAGGTCCCCTGGATGATGGCATATCCTGCTGCAAAGGGTTGGGATTTTTGACAGCTGCCATCAACGAACCAGTGTGGGGTGTCTGGGTCTAGGATGGGCTGATTTGTTACATGTTGGAAGGGGTTTTGGGTAAGATCTACTGTTAGGCTGCAGCTATGTAGGAGGGAGTCTGTTGTAGAGGACATGGGTAATAAGCTGGCGGGGTTAAGGGGAGAGCAGGGGGAGAATGAGACCTGAGGGTTGAGGAGAAAGGCATGTAGGACCGGTACCCTGGAAGGGGGAAGGGAGAGGAAAGCCCGATGTGATAGCAAGTCTCGGAAGGTGTGCGGAGAACAGACTGTTAAAGGGGCATGTCTAGAGAGTTTGTTTGCTTCGGGTACGAGGGCTGCGGTAGCAGCCTTGGCCTGTATGCAGGGAGGCCACCCCTGGTCACCATGTCCAGCTGTTTTGATAGATAGGCTATGTGAGCCCAGGTGTCTCCAGCCCGCTGGCATAGAAGCCCCAGGGCCTGTCCTTGGTTGGAATGTGCAAAGAGAAAGAATGATCTGGTGTAATCTGGCAGGTGCAGAGTTGGCACTAGGAGGAGGCTCTGGGTGAGCTGGCGAAGAGGATTGGCCAGCGAGGAAGGATTAAAGAGGGGCTCATCCAAACATCCTTTAGTTGCCTCATAGAGCGGCTTTGCAATGAGGGAGAAGTTGGGGATCCAGATACGGAAAATATTTAGGAGGCTGAGGATAGACAGGAGTTCCCTTTTTGTTTTTGGAAGTGGACAGTTAATTAAGGCCTGGATTCTATCTGGGGGTATAGTTCTTTGTTGATGGGATATGGAAAGTCCCAGGTAGGTGACTTTTGTCTGGACTCTTTAGGCCTTAGATTGGGATACCCGATAACCCCAGGATCCCAGGGCCCCAAGGAGTTTGGCAGTATGTTGGAGGCAGAGTTTTCAGGTTGAGCTACAAAGGAGGAGGTCATCTACGTATTGGAGGAGATGACTCGGGGCTAGGTTGAGAGTCTGTAGGTCCTTTTGTAAAGCCTGTCCAAAAAAGTGGGGATTGTCTCTAAATCCCTGGGGGAGAACTGTCCATGTTAGCTGTTGGGAAACGTGAGTCTCGGGGTCTTGCCAGGTGAAGGTGAAAAGGGTTGGGAGAGGGGGTGGAGGGGGATGGTGAAAAAGGCATATTTGAGATCTAGTACTGTGAAGTGGGTTGCAGTCGGGGGTATGGTTGACAGAAGGGTGTAAGGGTTAGGGACTACTGGGAATGTCGGTATAATAGCCTCATTGATTTTTCCCAGGTCCTGGACCAGTCTCCAAGAGTTTGGTCCCTTTCTTACTGCCAGAATAGGGGTGTTGTGTGGTGAATGGGTAGGAATTAAGGTAGAGGCTTGAAGAAAATGGTCTATGATAGGCTTAAGTCCCTTGTGGGCCTCTGGGGTGAGGGAGTACTGTGTTGGGTGATCATAGTCAAGGGGTCTTTTAGGATAATGTGGACTGGGGGATGATGTTTGGCTATTGATGGGTGATCAGTGTCCCAGACTTGGGGGTCTAAGGCAGGTAGATCCAAGGGAAGGTCAGGGGTGAGGGATAGGGACTGTCCAGGTGCCATTTGCATGCAGAATATAGAGACTGTATCGAGGGGGTGTATGGTAATAAAGACCCCCAATTTGGATAACAAATCTCTCCCTAGAAGTACCATCAGGCACTGAGGCATTATGAGGAATGAGTGTATAAGGGTTGATTTTCCAAATTGACAGAGTAATGGAGGGCTGATTTTTGGCCTTAGGGGAACTCCAGAGACCCCCTTGATTGTGATTTTTGAGTCTTGAGTTGGGCCAGAGTAGGAAGTTAAGAGAGAGAAAGTGGCTCTAATGTCTACTATAAAAGAGGTCTTTTTTTCAGCCACTCCCCCGTCTACCCTAAGTTCCAAGCCCGTGTTCAGGACACGGGCCGCGGGGGCTGGAACCCGGGCCCCGTCATTGGAACAACTCTTGTAGAGTTGGGCTGGGGTTCCGGGGAGAAGTGGGGATCTCCTCAGCTGTGCCAGGGCGTCCCTGTGGACATTCCACTCTCCAGGCCTGGGAGGTGGGGACCCCACCAGGGGCGCCAGGGCACCCCCAGGGACAGTCCATCTTCCAGTGTCCCCAGTGGCCACAGGTTGGGCATGCTTTTGTGGGGGGCCGCGGGTTTGGGCATGCCTTTGCCCAGTGTCCTGACTGCTTGCATTGGAAACAGGGTCCAGGGGGAGTCTTAAGCCCCGTTCTGGGATGACTTGGGCCAGGCTGATCTCTTTCCTTAATTGCTGCTGCCAAAAGGGCATATTTAGCTTTTCTCTCACGTTCTTTATCTCGCTTAGCCTCCTCCTCTCTATTACTGAACACCTTGAAGGCTACTTCTAGAAGGTCTCTCTGGGGGGTCTCAGGGCCCTTTTCTAGTTGGCGAAGCTTGCGTCTGATGTCAGGGGCAGACTGGCTGATGAACTGAACGTGAAGGTACAGTAACCCAGCAGGGGTAGTGATATCTAGGTTGGTATATTTCTGGACTGCCTCTGTGAGGTGTGCCAAGAATAAGGCTGGATTTTCATCTGCCCCTTGGGTGACTTCCCTGACTTTATCATAATTGACATGGATATGAGTATTTTTCTGCATTCCTTCTAGAATGCAGGTGATCATATGATTGAGTCTCCTGATACCTGGGTCACTGGGCTGGTAAGTCCAGTGGGGATCTAACTGAGGCACATTAGTGCCTCATCAGCAACTAGGCTGTCCCAGTCTTGGTTATATAAATGATCAGCATGGGCTTTTGCCGCTTTCCAGATACAGTCTTTTTCATCCGGGGTGAGAGTGGCATTTAGGATATAATATACGTCACTCCATGTGAGGTTATAGGCCTGGGAGAGTCTCAGGAATTCTTTTCTGTATCTGGTAGGATTTTCAGAAAATGATCCTAACTTTTCTTCTATCTGGCTCATATCTGACAATGAAAATGGCACATGGACTCGGGTGGGGCCCTCTGGTCCTGCCACCTCTCTCAGGGGAAACCTGTGCTGTGACCCTGTGGCAGGTGGGGAAGGAAGCGGGGAGGGGGAGTCGAGGAGATGGGGTAGCGGAGCTGAGGGGGAGTCAGGAGAGGTTTCGGTGCCAGTAGGTGAGTTGGATGAAGGGGAAGGAGAGAGGCAGCGGGGTGGCGAGTAGGGAGGGGGCTCGTCTGCGGGGTCGAAACTCCGGGGGTGCAGAAGGTTGCGGTCTGTGGTTAGTTGAGGAAGAAGAGCCCTTTTGCTTGGGAGGCAAGGTGCATAGAAGGACCTCGTGGGTGGAGCAGGCCTGGCATAGGGAAGGCCTGCTCCGAAGGGCCCAAAAGGCCTGGGCGTAGGGGATCTCCGACCACTTGCCATTCCGTTTAAGGAAGTCAGTGAGATTTTGGAGAATGTTAAAGTCAAATGTGCCGACCTCAGGCCAGCGGTCTTGATTGTCTAATTGGTATTGAGGCCAAATCTGTGTACAGAGTTGCTTTAAGCAGTTAGCTTTGAGTTCAGTGAGTGAGAGTGGTTTGAGATTTTTGAGAACACAGGCCAGAGGGGAATCTTTTGGGACAGATTGGCCAGACCCCATAATTGAAAGGCAAGCAGAGGCTCCTATTGGGAACTCGAGTCGTCACCCGTAGTCGCAATAGGAGTTATGAGAAGAGAGCTCTGTGTCGAGGTGGAGCGCCCCCACCATCGCCTACAGAGTGGCCCTGGGCCGGGGGTCCCTGGGACCCGGAGAGGACTGAGCTCTAGGGCGCCTCTAGAGCTCCGTCCAGATCGGATCTTACCTTAATCTAGGGGCTGGCTTGAGTGGAGTGTTGCATGTAGAGCGGTCGAATGGCAAGAGGTCCCTATTCTGGAGGTCGTCGGAGAGAGAGAGAAAAGAGGGTAAAGCCGAGGCCTGGGGGTACGCAAATCATCAATAAAGCCTTAGCACAGGGCTTGCACCGCTCCCGAAGGCACTAGGCATCCCCGAGGGGAATTTAAGAGCCCTGGCAGAGAAGTGAGCTGGAGGATGTTTGCGCCCCCAGACTCCGGGGAAAAGGGGAAAACAATGAGAGGGAGGGAGAGAGAGAGAGAGAGTGAGAGGAGTGCCTCGCCCTCTCCCGGGTTTCGGCACCAAAAATGTAAGGTACAGTTCCGGCGAGGCAGAAAAGGAAAGACGACCTCAACAGAAGTAGGTTACCTTTATTCAGGCAAGGAGGGGCGACAGTCAGCCTAACTACCAGGCTGAGCCCCGAGAGGGATCAGGGAGGCTTCATACTTATAGGGAGGTTTGTGGAAGCGATAAGGGAAGCGTCAATCAGGCAGGATATTTTGAGTATTCTTTTGTTGAGATGACACTTGCAATTGGGCAGGGGGTGATGAGTCTTCTGGGCGGGTGGAGGGGGTGGTAGGTTTCTGGACAGGAGTTGATAAGTCCCAGATAGATGCAACCGGCCTGGAGCACCAGGGTGGAACTAAAGTAATGCTTTGTTTTCTCCGAAGTTAGATGTTTCGGCAAGGGGCCTTTGAGACCATTGTTCTCTTTTCTAGGCACAGAAGACTCCTTCACTTTACAACTAAGCAATGGGAATAAGCTGAAAGAATTCTGAGGAGCATGATTTTAATAGTCTAGATTGCCTTGAACAGACTGTTAGTAGAAATATGAAAGTAAACTGCTGATGAGGGCAATGAGGAAAAGAGTATGTTTTGTTAGAGAATACTTAAATGGTCAGCAGCAGACCCATATCTGATTCAGGTGCTTTAGGTGATGAGATTTGGAACTTTTCATCTTATAATTTAGATAAGATGTTGAACTTTGAGTTGATGCTGTAATGAGTTGTGACTTTTAGGGATGTTGCAATAGAGTGAATGCATTTTGCATGTGGTAGAGATGTAAATCTTTGGGGTCAGGTGGTGGGCTCTGATAGGCAGAATAAAAACCCGTAAGTGATGTCCATGTGTAATGGGTGAGTTACCTTACATGGTGAAAAAAACTTGGCAGGTGTGATTAAATCATGCATCCTGAAATAGGGAGATTATTCTGGGTAATTTGAGTGGCCCTACATGGTCCCAGATGTTCAAGCTGGATTTGGAAATGGCAGAGGAACCAGAGATCAAGTTGCCAGCATACACTGGATCATGGAAAAAGCAAGAGAGTTACAGAAAAACACCTATTTCTGCTTTAATGACTATGCCAGATCTTTGACTGTGTGGATCACCACAAACTGTGGAAAATTCTTAAAGAGATGGGAATACCAAACCACCTGACCTGCCTTCTGAGAAATCCTTATGCAGGTCAAGAAGCAACAGTTAGAACTGGACATGGAACAGCACACTGGTTCCAAATCAGGAAAGGAGTACATCAAGCCTGTATATTGTCACCCTGCTTCTTTAACTTATATGCAGAGCACAAATGCAAAATGCCAGACTGGATGAAGCACAAGCTGGACTCAAGATTGCTGGGAGGGATACCAATAACCTCAGATATGCAGATGACACCACCCTTATGACAAAGAGCAAAGAAGAACTAAAGAGCCTCTTGATGAAAGAGAAAGGGGAGAGTGAAAAAGTTGGCTTAAAGCTCAACATTCAGAAAGCTAAGATCATGGCATCCAGTCCCATCACTTCATGGCAAATAGATGGAGAAACAATGGAAACATTGAGACTTTATTTTCTTGGGCTCCAAAATCACTGCAAATGGTAACTGCAGCCATGGAATTGGAAAATGCTTGCCCCTTGGAGGAGGGGCTAGGTTGGTCACCAACCTGGACAGCATATTGAAAAGCAGAGATATTGCTTTGCCAACAGGGGTCCGTCTGATCAAAGCTGTAGTTTTCCAGTAGTCATGTATGGATGTGGGAGTTGGACTATAGAGAAGGTTGAGCACTGAAGAATTGATGCTTTTGAACTGTGGTGTTGAAGAGGACTCTTGAGAGTCCCTTGGACTGCAGTGAGATCCAACCAGTTGATCCTAAAGGAAATCAGTCCTGAATATTCATTGGAAGGACTGTTGCTGACGCTGAAACTCCAATACGTTGGCCACCTGATGAGAAGAGCTGACTCATTGGAAAAGACCCAATGCTGGGAAAGATTGAAAGCAAGAGGAGAAGGGGACGACAGAGGATGAGATGGCTGGATGGCATCACTGACTTGATGGACTTGAGTTTGAGTAAGCTCCAAGAGCTGGTGATGGACAGGGAAGCCAGGCATGCTGCAGTCCATGGGGTTGCAAAGAGTCGGACATGACTGAGTGACTGAACTGAACTGCACTGAACAGGGTTCCTTAGGGCTTCACAGGTGGCACTAGTGATAAAGAACCAGCCTGCCAATGCAAGAGACATAAGACATGCAGGTTTGATTCCTGGTTTGGAAGATCCCCTGGAGGAGGGCATGGCAAGCCACTCTAGTATTCTTGCCTGGGAAATGCCATGGACAGAGGAACCTGGCAGGCTACAGTCCATGAGGTCACAAAGAGTCAGATATGACTGAGGCAACTTAGCACACATGCACAGAGTACCTTATAAAAGGGTGAAAGGAGGCAGGAGTGTCAAGATCAGGAGAGAGATTTAAGTATCCTATTTGCTGGCTTTAAGGGAGACGAATGAGCCATGGGCCAAAAAATCTAAACAGCCTTTTTATTGTTTAGTCATTAAGTCATGTCTGACTCTTTCATGACCCTATGGACTATAATCTGCCAGGCTCCTCTGTCCTTGGAATTCTCCAGGCAAGATTATTGGAGTGGGTTGCCATTTCCTTCTCCAGGGAATCTTCCTGACCCAGGGATCAAACCTGACTCTCCCACATTGGCAGGTGGGTTCTTTACCACTAAACCACCAGGGAAGCCCAAACAGCCTCTAGAAGGGGGAAGACTAAAGAAAGCTGACTCTTACCTGGAGCCTCCAGAAGGAATGTAGCTCTCATGACACCTCTATTCGCCCAAAAAGACTCAGGCAGACTTCTGATGTCCACAACTGTAAGATAATAAATTTGTGTTCTTTAAAACCTTAATATACGGTAGGAATTGAAAGGAAGAAAATATTGTAAATAATCAGTAAAACTTAATATTTAGTGTGGAAACAAATGAAGACGTTGATAATGTTACCATCATTTCAGGCCACAGTGGGAGAGTCATGCCTCCTCTCACAGACATTTGTTAATTAAAATATTTTATTATTTGAAAAAGCCCTTCACTATTCTCATTGCATACTGAAATTCCACTCTATTTTGTGTCAGTTATAACTGCCTTGATTAATTTTGGTGTTATCATGCTTATGCTAATACTTCATCTTTATAAAACATCACTGAAACTGCAGTTCTTTTTACTGTGATGTAAGGATTCACTTCTCTGTAGAAAATGAGGCTCATAACAGCAGGCACATTGCCCTCTAACTCTATAAGACAAAACCAAATAAAATAAAACTTGAAGGGAAGAAAAATTAGAATTTTCATTCACTTCCCAAATGCAGTATGCCTTTCATCACAGATGAACAGAGCTTTAGAAATGACAGAAAGAATGTCTCCCCACATCTGACCCACAGTTCTCTAGTACATATACTAATCAGCCTTAAAAAAGGAGCTTGTTTCTCCATTTCAGCAATCATCTTGCCTACATGCTTGGTATAGCACATTGCCTCAATCCATAGCCCTCTACTTTATTACTAATGAAAGTTATACAATGATTAAGGGGAAAAAATCCAAATAAACTGGAAAGTAGGAACCTATACCTACCTCAGTGTTTGTGCTCCCTCCAGGATGTATAATTCCTTCCCATCACCTGGCTGTCCCATGAAACTCCATACCACATGCAATTCTTCAAGGATACAGCTACTCAATAATACCAAGTGTATTCTGCATTATTATTTCCTACTTAGGAGTCATGATGCAATTTTGACCTGCACCTAAGCTTATCTTCTTTCCAGTGAAAGTAATAGAACAAGGTCTTTGAAATTTCACTTATACAAACACACATATACAAATTTCAAATAGTTATTTAATGTACAATAGGCAAGATAATGTTAACACTTAAGAAGTTTACAATCCAGTTGCTCTTTGATGCTTCTGGGTAATAATGGCTTGCATACATGCATGCTAAATCGCTACAGAAGTGTCCACTCTTTGCAACCCACAGACTATAGCCTACCAGGCTCCTCTCTCCATGGGCTTCTCCAGGCAAGAATGCTGGAGTGTGCTGCGAGGCCCTCCTCAATAATGGCTTAATTAAGTAATAATCTTGTTTACTTTTCTACTCAATATAAAAAACACCTTTTGTGATTCATTGAATTTGAAGGCAAGCACATAATAACCAATTGTGAATATACTTAAAGGAGTTTAAAAGATTTAATTGTAAATATAAGTGGTTTTAGATTATAAAGCCAATTTTGAAAGGCAGTATGGAGTTTGGAGAAAAAAAATACCATGCCTGCAAACTTCATACCAGACTTGTGTATCTTAGCTTTGTCCTACTAGTGTTAACTTGGAGAAGTCAGTTAATCTCTCTGGGTCTCAATCTTCTTGTATGTAAAATTTAAATAATAATACCTGCCTTGCAGGATTGTTTGAAGACCATCAACATCCCATTATACATATAATAGCACATAATATGTATTCAGCAAATGATGTTTGTTATGTAGATAAATTCTCTCTCATACTAAGTCAACTGAACAATGATTACAGAACTTTTATATATTTGATTTAAAATATCACAGGTATATTGGACATGAAGAAATGCTAAATTCAATTTTGATGGTTCCTAGCTAGTGCTATTATTCCAAAGTCCATAATCATTCATGAAAATTTTCACATTGGTAAGGTCATTAAGAGAAGGCAATGGCAACCCACTCCAGTACTCTTGCCTGGAAAATTCCATGGATGGAGATGCCTGGTAGGCTGCTGTCCATGGGGTCCCTAAGAGTCAGACACGACTGAGCAACTTCACTTTCCCTTTTCACGTTCATGCATTGGAGAAGGAAATGGCAACCCACTCCAGTGTTCTTGCCTGGAGAATCCCAGGACAGGTGAGACTGGTGGGCTGCTGTCTATGGGGTTGCACAGAGTCGGACACGACTGAAGCGACTCAGAAGCAGCAGCAGCAAGGTCATTGGGTCATTGCTTTCCTTATCTTGGATTGTTGTAGGAAACATTTTCCTTTTACAATAAAATATTCAGTACTATTCACCTAAAACAATTTCTGGTCAGTATCTTGACTTGTGAATTGAATTACAATAAAATAAATTGTCAACATGTCAAACTCTAGATAAAGTTGAAAATCTGTGGGGACCAATTGACATGTAGTTGTGTGTGTCTTAATGTTTTACAATAGTCTCCCCACTTTATGGAATCAGTCCCTTATTTAAAGTGACAGTTTATAAATAACAGGAATTTTCAAGAACAACATGACCCAAAGTAATTTTTGTCCCATTTTCTTTTCTAATAAATGGCTACTGCATGGGATCAGAGTTTCATTTTCATGTAATTTTTATAGCCATAAATGTAAAAATTAAAGAAACTATTGATACTCTATTTTAAATTCTTATTTCTGCCCACCACTGTTCAGCAGTGGTTCAAAATAGAAACCTAGCTATCTTAATCCTTGCCTTTGGCAGAAATGATTTCAGCATCAAGCAATCTTTATTCTGGAAAGCATTTCCTACCTTTACTTCTACTATTTCTAAAGTCCTACAGTGTACAATATCTGAATATTGCGGAGCCCACATTTAAGTTCCCAAAAGGATTTTCATTAGTGTCTGAATAATGCTGAATGTATTTTTTTTTCTTCCACTCTTAATGGAGCAAACTCATACCAAGAACATATACAGTTTATAAACTGCATTGATTTCTTAGATATTTTCCCCTGCACTTTTATATGGGCAATGTTTTCCCATCTATCTTATATTCTGCTGTTTAGTCATTTCAGTTGTGTCTGACTCTGTGTGACCCCACTGACTGTAGCCTTCCAGGCTCCTCTGTCCATGGGATTCTCCAGGCAAGAATACTGGAGTGGGTTGCCATTTCCTTCTCTTATATTCAGGGCATTTCATTTTTTTAGTTCCTTATACTCCAGGAAAGGCAGATAAATATTTTGGGAAGAAATTATCTGGTGCATGTGTATGTGGGTGTTCATTTGTCAGTATGAGAATGAATAATCAAAACAAGCAATTTAAATTCATGTGTTCTGCTTTCTTGAAGAACCAAATGCCCTATAACTGATTACCTATAAATGTTTCTTAAGCAAAGATGAAAATACAGAAAAACTAAGGTTAAATATTCTCTTTCAGAATATACTTTCAGTTACATACATTTCATCAAATTAAATGAATTCCCAGTCCCTGTACCTGTCCCAAACTTTCCTGTCTATGATTTCGGTCACTTCTCTCCAGCTGCCTTAAATGCCAGTCACTTTCTCTTTATACTCAATTCTGCTATATATCTGTGGTCACATACTGTGGTATCAGATTGAAGATATGAGTTTAGCCATGGACATTAGCTACAGAAGCGTAAAATGCTCACAGGCTCATTGAAACATAAACATGAAAGGAGACATGGCTACGAGACCAATGAATGGAAGGAGTACAAGGCAAATGTAGACATGTTTCAAAATCACATTGGACTGATTGGAAAAACTGGGAATGAGGTTCAAAAAAAATGAATCAATGCCTTAAAGTTCATGTAGGAACTAGACATGAACCCAGAATTTAAAGGAAGCCCTGGATCATGCAGAGGAGAAAAAAAAAAAAAAAAAGGATTGGGGGTTAATCTGAAAGAAAAGGTTTAATGTAAACACCTAGATGACAATTCAATTGGCAACAATGTGTTAGTTCCTCAGTTGTGTCTGATTCTTTGAGACCCCATGGACTATAGCACCTTTGTCCCTGGAATTCTCCAGGCAAGAATAGTGGAGTGGGTGGCCATTCCTTTCTCCAAGGATCTTCCTGACCCAAGGATCAAACCCAGGTCTCCCACATAGCAGGCAGGGTCTTTACCAGACAACAGGGAAGCCTCAAACCAACACTACAGCAGTTTGAACCTCTCCCAGTGACAATGATGAAGGTAAGCAGAATTATTTTTAGATATGAAAAAAAGATCTGTAGAGTCAAAGTTGTGGTTTTTCCAGCAGTCATGTACAGATGTGAGAGTTGGACTATAAAGAAGGTGGAACATCAAAGGACTGATGCTTTTGAACTATGGTGTTGGAGAAGGCTCTTGAAAGTCCCTTGGAGTGCAAGGAGATCAAACCAGTCAATCTTAAAGGAAATCAGTCCTGAATATTGGACAGACTGATGCTGAAGCTGAAGCTCCATTACTTTGACCATCTGATGCAAAGACCCAATTCATTGGAAAAAACCCTGATGCTGGGAAAGATTGAGGGAAAGAGGAGAAGGGGACAACAGAGAATAAAATGTTTGGATAGCATCACAAACCTGATGAATGTAAGTTTGAGCAAACTCATGAGATAGCAAAGGACAGAGAAGCCTGGCATGTTGCAGTCCGCAGGGTAACAAGGAATTGGACACATCTTAGCAACTAAACAGCAGTAACAACAACAGAGGGTTAACGCTGCCAGTGAAGTGAAAGTTGATCAGTTATGTGTGACTCCTTACAGACTCCATGGACTATACCGTCTATGGAATTCTCCAGGCCGGAATACTGGAGTAAGTAGCTGTTCCCATCTCCAGGGGATCTTCCCAACTCAGGGATCAAACCCAGGTCTCCCGCATTGCAGGAGGATTCTTTACCAGCTGAGTTACCAGGGAAGTCCAAGCACCATCAGATTTGATGTTATATAACCCTAAGAGCATTTATTTAACATTCATGGGAAATGTTCCGTAATGAAATAAGACATAGTATCCAGTCTAAAGCCAAGCAAGAATTAGAAGTAAATCAGACAGATACCAGAGTGTAAGATAAATGCTGATGCATATATCCAAATCTATTCAGTACTGATAGGATGTAATAAAATAGGAATCACTATTAC